CTGGGAATATTCCTGGAACTCAATATGTATGCATTTATATTACTTGATTTTTTTTTCATGTTTTGCGTACATGCTTCACACCCTTGGTGTTCTGCAACCTCTGTATACATATCTTGCGTATATATGCTTCGCATCTTCAATGCTCCTCAACTTGTGAATATATCTTGTATACATATCTTGTATACATATGCTCCGCTTTGCTCTACAGACTTGGCATTCATATTTGCTTTATGATTTGCATACCTTCTGCCCACTTATTACCACCCATATTTGCCTTATATATAGCATACATTAAAATTTGGTAGCATATGATTGAAACGATATAGCATCCATATTCGCTTCACCCTAAAGGGCTCACTCATATTCCTGCTATATCGTTTCTCTTGTCAAATGCGTATTCGCTAGCGTCGCCCTAAAGAGCTTTGCCAGCTCATACTTATTCTCCTATATCAAACGTGCATTTGTCGTTACTCCACTCCTCCTTATGCTTGTTCTCTCTTGCTACCTAAGCAGTATGCTATTGGGAGGCAATTTGATTATAATGTATGCGAAAAATTTATAGGAAAGACTTGATAAAAGGTATGACTTAGAAGTGTGATTTAGAGGTGAGACTTAGAGGTGAGACTTGGCATATATATATCTTAGAGGTGTGATTTAGAGGTGAGACTTAGAATATGGTATGCATTTTAGGCTTGCATGATCGGGTCCAGCTCAAATTGCGTCACTTTGTTCCTTGATTTTCGCTGGGCCCTTTAGAGGCAAGCAGAATAGTATAAAGTTATTATTCATATTGAGTTTGCAATGTCAGGTCCAGCTCAAATTGTATCACTTTGTTTCTTGATTTTCGCTGGGCCCTCTTAAGGCAAATAGAATAGTAAAAATTTTTTGTTATATTATTTGAAATTAAAATCAAGCTAGAATAGTTATATCAAACAGTGTAATTCTTGGTATTAGACAGGCTAATTCCTAGCCAAATTCGATAACATTATCTATATTTGAGTCAAAAAAGCATTAGAGCTTTGAATTTGATATTGGAAATCATATAGCAAACTGGGTTTGTAGACAGATTTGAAGGCAGATTTGGAGTTTACACCAGAATCCCCTTTTTTGCCTATATATTTTTACTTTAATAACATTATTATTTAAATTATTTTCTTCAGTAGATGATGGTGATTCCGTAGTATTATCCTATATATTTATAATAAAAATAAGTAATAAAATTATTCAAAAATTAAAATTTATAAATTTATAAAATAATATATCTCATTCTCTTTATTGATATTTTTTTTGCTTTTTTAAATTCTTTCGTTTTTTTATGTCAACTAAATTTGAAAATATATTGAATATTAATATTTAAAATTAAATGTAAAATTTAAATTTAAAATAACTTACGTTTATTATTAATATAATGACAAATCATTTGCTTAATTGCCCAATCATTAGCAGTATTTGAAAATAAAGGATTTTTTTTCTTTAATCTAATAATTCAAATATTAGTTTAATATATACAATATTTATATATATTTAAAATAAATAAATAAAAATATATACACTTACTTTAAAAATAATTTTAAAAATTCTTCGTTCTTCTTCATCCTTTCAAGGTTTTGATAAACTAAAAGACCTGAATTTACCAGATTGCGAATATCATACTAACAAAATTGTATTAGTATTTCTATATTTAGTTAATATAAATATAATTATTGAATAAAAACCTTATAAGGTAAAAATTCATTTTCTGAAATTTGTAGGGTTTCAGAAATATTTATATAATTAACATTTGGTGGTTTAAAAATTTTATTAATAATCAGTACATGATTTTGTATTGAATTAGAGGTAACTATAGTAATGGTAGGTAAGAACTTTCTTGAATATTGCTGCTATTAAAATTAAATTATTAATAAATTTTATAAATAAAGTTCAATTTAATATTTTCTAATAATATTTCTTACATTTTTTTGAAGTGTATCTTGTAATTGCTCATTTTGTTTTTTAAGATTTTCTAATTCTTTTTCTAATTCTAATAATATGAAATAAAATAATATTAATTATTATAATTATAATTAATATATTAAAAGATATATTTACTTTTAATTTTTTCAGCTGAACTTTGTATATTATGTACATTATATTCAATGTTTTGTAAATTTTTTTCTTGAATATTTTCTTGTAACATTATAATAATTTGAATAAAGTAAATTATAAAAAAAAGTAAAAGTTAAATAACAAACGCGTTATTTAAATTATTTATAAATAAATTAAAAATTAATGTTAAAACCTTTATATAGTAATTATATTAATGAAAAAAGAATAGAATTTGATTGTAATTAAAAATCGCGTAAAAATTTTAATAAATTATTTATTACCTACTTATATTTAATAAAAATTTTTTATTATAGAAAAGATCAACAAATTTATTTTAAAGTTTAAACTTTATGTATTGTATTGCTATATTTGTTAATATAATTATATTTAATCATATGCAATCATTTCATTTCATATCATATTTAATCAAAAAATTTAATAATAATTAAAATTTTCATTTTTTATAAATATTTGTTTAAATTATATAAATTTATATATATATATGAAAAAAATTATTAAATATTCATATATTTTTATAATAAAAATATTAAATAACTTTATTCCAATCAGCTACAAGGAGTTTTCAATTATATTATACATTGAAATAATACAATGTTAAATATAATTTACTCATCCAATCACCTATGAGAAGATAAAAGTTATATAGAAAAAATAATAAAAGATCATATTATTTTATTTTAGATAATAAATCTATTTAAATTGTAATTAAATTAATTAATATTATATTATAATATAGTTATAAAGTTTTTAAATAAACTTACTTTAATTAATTTGTTCATAAATAATATTATCAAAATTGTTGGATTTTGATTAGAAGAATACCAAATCTCATTATATTCTTGAGTATTATTTTCTTCATTAAGATTATCAATAAATTTTTGAAAATTACGTAATTCATTAAAATTTTGATCATATATTTTTACATAAGGATTAGGAGATAAATCTCATTCTGAAGAAGATTTTGGTATTGGAAAATATTAAAGTTGATGATGATAATAACTTGTATGCGAAAGGTATAGGTAACTTTAAAAAATAATTATGGGGTTAGTTTTTGTTTTTATCTTGAATTAAGAAATTTTAATACTTTGTTAAATATGTTGTAATTTTCTATTATTTTTGCTAATAAAATTATAAATTAAAGTTAATATTATATATTGATTAAAATTAAAAAAATTAAATTAACTTACACAAATATGAAGTATGGTTTTAATAAATGTAAATGCATTATCTTTATTACATTATAATTGTATTGTTATCTCAATAAATTGTTTTGAATGATATAAATTACTTGCTGGCTGATCCAAAAAATTAACTTTTAGAATATTTGCTATTAAATTATAAGATAAATATAAGTAAATAATTTAAAATTTAATATTATTAAAAAATTTTTTACTTACTATGTATTTGTAATAAAAGTATATTGATTGATTTCATTAATTTATTAATATGATTTTCAATTAAAGATAGTTCATAATTATATACAATTAATAAATTATATATTCAAATTTATCTTTTCCATTATAATGATTACAATCATAATCAAAATTCTTTTTTTGGTTTTTTTTTAATGGTAAACCAGTTACTTCTGCTAATAAAAATACATTATTTTGATAATCTTTTATTAAAAGATCAAATTTTCTTCCATAAACCAATTTATTATTAAAATCATAAAACTTTTTTGAAAATATTTTTTGATGATTTGATCCTATATTTTCTTTTTCTCCACTAAAAATAAATAAATTTTTAATTATTAAATAAATGTATTAAAATTTATTTATATAAATAATATATGTATTTTTACTTACAGTTATACTATTAAATTACTATTTAATAAATATAATACATGATTAAATATTTCGAAAAGAGTAAGATTGCTTGTTTAAACTCATTTTGGATTTGGCAAAATGGTAAAACCTTTAGTTTCGCTAAATTTTTACTAAGTGTTTAATATAGTTTCACCATTTTTATAAGCTTTGATATAGTTTTACCTTTTTCCAAATTTCGCAGATTTTTTAATAAGGTTTTAATATAATTTAACCAAGTTTTACTTTTATCATTTAGACATCTGTCTAAACTCTTGATTTCGTCCAGCAACCTTAGAAAAGAGTATTTGAAATATATTAGACTTCAGATATTTCAATAAAATACTTTTTATCATGTCGCCAAAAAGTTTTTCCCTAAAATAAATTATTTTTTTTTTTAAAAAAAAAGTTTAAATTAAAATTACATATATAATGATTCTAATATAAATTTATAAATATGTGCTTCGATATATAATGAATATTCTTCTTTAAAAATAAGTGATGGTAAAATTAAGATTTTATATTGTTGATTATTATCCATCCATTTCAATAATTCATGATTATATAAGTCTAATAATAAAAAATAAATTTTATTAATAATCAGGAATGTAATAGATTAATGCTTTATATTACTAACTCATAATACTTAGCTTTAATATTTTTATTAAATAAAATTTCTTCAAAAACAGAAAAAACAACTCTTTCTGACTTTAGTTTCTATGTAATTTTCTAATGAAATTAAATAAATATTAGTAATTATATAAATAAAAAAAATAATTTAAGTACAACTTTTATTATTTCATTACCTTAAATTAAAATAAATTCTTTGATAAAGATGGTTCCCATAATTATTTTTAAAATTTTTAACTAGTTGCAATTTCTTAATTATGGTGCTATTCTTTAATTATAATAGAATATTATAAAATTACTTATTTTTATTATTATAATTTTTATAATTTATTAAGGAATTTTATGACTTTAATTGATGATAAAGTGATTCAATTAGTATGCAAACATATAAATTTTTAAAGAATTTTTAAAAATTATTATAATAAATTTTTTGAAACTTAA